GGACAGTATTGGACCACTGAGTTATTTTAGTGCTACTAAGAGCAAACAATGGGTGGAATTCGAAACCACTTGTTAGGCAAAGTAGTCTAATGATTGACGTCAGGACTAAGATACCGAGAAACTCCTAGACAAACTTGCCAGACAATAAAAGCTAATTAAGACTCAGCCTATTACGGAATTTCAACTAAGTAAATTATGCTGTCAAAAATGAAAACAGGTTTCTACGCTCCAGTGATTTCCATCACCAAATACTCCGTCTGTCTTGAGCAGTGAAGTTGACAATCTGCAGATCTTGCTCTTGAATTTGGTTTTCTTGCATTGTGTTTTGGGAATAACCACTGTACGATATGTCGTTTGTTTGGTTGTATTGAAAAAAAAACACAAGGTTGATATTGTATTCGAATGACGTTTCAAACTGTGAAAGTATCAGAATGGATATAAAAATAGATCCAGTTTGAGATATCAACCTTATCGTATTTAAGGCTTGTAGAGGTTTGTATGGCTTTTATGTGCCACACTCACCAAAATGCAATTGCGACTCGCTTTGTAACAGACATAATTGCATGCATTCACAACCATGCGATCAGTTTATGCGGAAAATTGTTTACTGCTTGTGGAGGCCTTCTACCGCAGTCGAGTAACAGCGGAAACTAACTGTATGAAAGCAAATAGTTTTTCCATTACATATGAGAATTTTGTCTCATGTTGAAGAAAGCTGTTTCACTTGACTTATGTCGCTCCAATCAAGAATCAATATATTTGCGACAGCGTAATATCGTCGACGCTCTGGTGCCTAAGAAATAAAACAACTCTTATACGCTCGAGATCCGCTGCTTGATAAACAAAATAGAAGCTCTAATGATCAAGCCACATTCGATACATTTTATACCTTAGGAGAGGAAACAAAAATTTCATGTCCACCATGAAGTATCACTAAAAACTCTCGTTCTCGAACGATGTGTGTGTTACGCTCCAAAACTGATGTAGGCCAACAACTACAATTCAATCAAAGAAGAGTTATAGAATACCTCAAATAAGTCATTATTTAGGAAATAAAATTGACCCTTTTCTCCTCTGGAATACGTAATAGCGAGCGGTGACACAATTCAGAAAAAGACTGGCCTAAAAACTGCATCTGGCCTATCTAATGCATCTAGTAAATCCCTTGCATAAATCAATGAGGATGGGAAACCGACGACCCTCGATTTTCTCAATCTAGTCGGCTGTGATACTCGTCACCGAATCCGTCTTTCAGACTTTTCAGTCAGCACAGAAGATCAATAATGAATACGTAGGTTAATAATGTAATATTCCAATACCTTTCTTACCTTGACGCTTACTAACTTGTTAACTTCGCCTTTTCTTCAATCCAACACTCGTTTCCACTGATATGACGGTTGCCAAAACAAACAGCGTGAAAAGCAAGACGCAGTGGAGAAGGGTGGGGGGTTATTAGGATGGGCCCTTTCTCATTACTCATGTCCCTCCTTAATTTCATAACAAAAAAAAAACAAAAAAAAACAAAAAAACAAAATCAAAACAAAACAGCAGTTAACTCGGCGAAATTTCAGACAACAGCGCGCGTACTTGACGCGTTCTGTCCGCTTACCTAGGCATGACTTCTTAACTGTCCCTTTTACTGTTCTATTACACGGTTGCTATTAAAAGCATGTCGACAAAGTCAACATAATATCTTCCACCAGCGGTGCAGGGTAGAGCAATCAGTAAATGTGCAATGCAAATGGCTCCCCTGATCGAATTCCGGGGATGGGGGTGGAGATATCGAAAAAGGTTCACGTTACGTCAAATTGTATGTTATCGATATCTTTGTTGACGGGCGCGCGGTGGGACTCTGAAAATCTTGAACACTTTGATTTGATTCCGACAGGCCATTACTGCTCAAAACACAATAGTAATAATGAGATAAAAATAAAATTCTTCAAAAGCTCAAAACCGCAAACTGACTACCATTGTTAATTGTGGTATAAGAATCTTATATCTCATTGGCTTTCTACTTGGAAAACAATGACATCCGGTAGACCCTTCTATTGTTCATGGTTTTTCCGAGTCTCACTTTAAAATCATTTGCAAAATCTCTTGATCAGTGAACACAGACGGAGGTATTCTTTTACACAGTGTACTAATAATTTTATTGAAAAACTCATCTTCGACGGCTAAGCATCACGTCTAATTCAATTTAACGTAATAAAAACATTACAATACAATGAATTGTAATTAACATGCATAAAGTTTTTCTGTGGCTGAGATATTCTTTTTTGAACATTTATGCGTATATTTACTAGAAAATCGTTCGTCTAGCTTATTTAATAGGTGTAAACTAGCGTCTGTTAAGCGTTTTGTATCCAGCGGTTTAATTCTAAACAGGCTAACGATAAAACTGTGATCCGTTTGGTTAAGTATGCAGCCATAGGCAAGTGACCTTCAATGCTCCATTCCCACCAACGTACTTAGGTCTGTGGGCCGAAGAAAAGTGTTGCTTACAACAGTCGGACCTCCACTAAATTCCACCAGCGGCCATTTTTTTTTCGTCTCGTTGGAGACGCATTTAATCTAATAAGTCCTATTCATTATTTTTCTTTAGTCTCTTCTCTTTTATTTTTATTTTTTTAAAGGAACCAGTTCCAGTTATTACTTACTGCCGGCGGGAGAATTTATGAGGGATCACGTATTTTTTCGGGAGAATGGAGGGGGGGGGG